CAACCAACCAACCAACCAACCAACCAACCAACCAAACAAACAAACAAACAAACAAACAAACAAACAAACAAACAAACAAACAAACAAACAAACAAACCCAGAGCAGTGGTTTTCTTGATGATCTCATGAGCCTTTTTGATTAATACCTATGTTTTAATTTTTATTTTTTGGGGTGGGGGGGATCAAATATGAACCCATTGTTTGCACATAGAAAAATCTGTGTTTACAATGTGAGTCTGCAGTGGCACACATCTCTGCACACTGCATGATTAGTATTCTGCACCTTCCTATTTGTCACCATTTACTAGTTCAGCCCAAAGAAAAGACATTCAAAGGAAAATGTAATTATTAAAAGGAATGAGGCAGAAAMTCTGTGATTTAGAGATCTAAGAATGTTAACAGTAAGATTATAAAAGGYATTTGTGGTTTATTTTTTCCTAAGATAACAGGTACGTTTTGTTTTCCTGTTCCCACAGGCCATATGTGATCCTGGAGACTGGGGTTGCTGTTTTGGTGATAGTGTTTTTGTTTTACTACCTCATCACTCGTGGAAACCCACCTAAGGACATCTTATTCTTTGGTAATCAGCACAAACACGTGCACCGGTCAACTCATAAACCGACACTGGCTGTAAACAACTAAAAAGCCTTCTGTGCATTGATCTGGAGCTGATTTAAATTGTCACTAAAGGATTTCCAGAACTTTCACCCACAGAGTGAAAACACGAGTCTGTCTGAAATGCTCAAAGCTGCTTAAACTGATCTGCTTTTCTACAGCATGACTGAAGCAATCCCTCTGCAGACTGAGAGCCTTTGCTGTATTCACTCTTACTTAACATTTTTGCTATTGTATTAGGATCATGTCCCCAACAACATGTGGAAAATGCACAACTACTTAAAAATTCCATAACAGGAGCAGTTTGAGCTTCTAAACAGAATGGTGCTACTAGCTAACTAGTAAGACCAAATGTAGCTGCACTAGCCAATTAGTGAATATTGGCTAGTTGTTTGGTAAAAGTCAAACAACTAGCCAAACACATGATCAAACGTCATTGATCATGTGTTTGGTAAAAGTCACATGATCAATGACATCTAAAGCTTCATTAATGCCAAAGTTAAGTCACTGCTTTGGTACCTGATTCAAAGGTTCATGAAGAAGGGAAGCATTGTTCCGATTCTTGGTGTTTTGATGTTTTTAAGTTTTAATGTTGGGCTCTGATGCTCAACAAGTCGACATTTTAGGCACACTAGTTAGATAGTTTAACATTTTACAGCTCCATTTGTTAACTAGTAATGCCAAAAAAAGCTTCAACTTATGAGCTAGAAAGCATTTTAGACATTATGAGTTTACTAGTAAGGCCAAATATTGTCACAGTAGTTGACTAGTGTCAGGGTGGTGGTATGGTAAAACTTGTGATGGGCTGATTGAAGTTGAATCTCTGGTGCATGTATCGAAAAAAAACCAAGAATTTCAGAAGCTCTGTCTCGAAGTTTGATTTGTTTGGTAAAAGTCACATGATCAATGATGTCTAAAGCGTCATAAATGCCAAAGTTAAGTCACTGCTTTGGTACCTGATTCAAAGGTTCATGAAGAAGTGAAGCATTGTTCCGATTCTTGGTGTTTTGATGTTTTTAAGTTTTAATGTTGCTCCAGTGGTTCACTAGTGTGTTAAAAAACCAACTTGTTCAGACTGTTGGACTTCTAGTGCAGCGAAATGACTGACCAGTACGACATTCTGCTCCAAGTTGAGCAAATGTCACTTGGGCCAGCATCTGTTGGGGAACTCCAAGGCGTTCCCAGGCCAGTTGAGAAACATAGTCCCTCCAGCATGTCCTGGGTCTTCCTC